GCCTTCCCTCGTCACCTTTCACGGTTTTTTTTTTTTTTTTTTCTGTAGGCAAAGCCATGCCATCCTCTCCACCTGCTGAGCCTGAGGAACGACAGCGACAAGGCTCCAAAGCCCCTTCCGACTCTGTCGAGGACGAGCCCGTCGGGTCCGACAGGTCGACCGAGCCCAGCAAGATGCCTCCGCCGTCTGAAGAGGTACAGCCGACCGCTGGCGTGGTCGAGTCTAAAGAGTATGCCCACCTCTCACCCTCTCCGTGACAACCCCGTCTGCTGCTTCGTCCACACCTTCTCCGCGCAACATATCCCCCCCACTAACGCTCCTCTCCCCTTCGCAGCCGACGAGTTGCGGATGGAAGCACGTCGGATGCCGTCGACGGAGTCGCCCCAACCCGTCTAGACCGTCCAGACAGTCGCGAGCCCCACAGTAACGGTCGCTTGAACGGCGGCTCCGATACCGACGGAGCTGAACCCGTCGACGGCGATATCGGTGACGCTGTCAGCGCACCAGACTCGCCGCCACTTGGCGATGAGATCGTCGTCCACGATGATGCCGCACATGATCGGACGACCTCCGCCAACGACGAGGACGAGTCCATGGCTGATGCCAGCCCGGATGATCCTGCCGGTGCCGACGGCCCGCCTCGCCTGATCGACGCCTCCGCCTCCGCCGCCGTCAAGGCCTCGCCTTACCCCAAGCGCAAACGCACCGCTTCCAAGATTGCCCGGGCCAACGGTGAGGCTGACGTGGCCGACCCGCCGTCTCTGGTGGCCGACGCAAAGCTGGACCGCACCACCCAGCCCCCAAAGGCCTCGACGCCCAAGGGACGCGCCGCCAAGACGGCCGCCTCCGTCGTCTCCAGCCCCTCCTCCTCCTCCCGGAAGAGCCTGGGCAACGGTAAGATGGTCCTCCTCGGCCACTGGAGGGACTCGCCGGCTCCCGACGACGAGCAGAAGCACGCCGCCGTCGGCTTCATCGACGTCCGTGAGCGACTGCGCACCCGCGTCCAGGGCTGGAACCGAAAGGGCGAGCACATCACCCACACCTGGCCTCTGGCAGCCAAGTCGGGCGCCATCTGGGTCACCTTTGACGGTATCGTCTTCCTCCCCCACCTCGTCGGCCTCGACCAGCTCCAGATCAAGGAGTACGTCCGCATCCGCGGCGAGGCCCTCGAGGCCCTCGAGAAGAGGGGCATGCTCGCCGAGGAGACGGCCGAGGCCCGCGAGGCCGCCGAGGCCAAGGCCGTCCAGGATGCCGTCCAGACGGCCAGGCAGGCGGCCCTGGCCGACAGGGGACCCTCGTTCTCTCCGCAGCCGCTCATCGCCTACGGTGCCCAACTCCCCGAGTCGGCCAAGCGGCGCCGCACCAGCGGCAGCTTCACCGCGGCCGGCCCGGTGACCGGCGCGGCCGAGACGGACCGTGACCGTGAGCCGACAGCGCTCGACCCGCTCCACGGCACGCGTCCGACGCGCATCCTCCTGGGCGTCTGGTCCAAGTCGGACGCTGACACGCGCGAGGGCCGCCACGCGATATACGGGATCCTGGGCCAGAACGACATGTTCCGCGTCAAGCTGGTGCGGGAGACGCGCACGGGCGAGTTCAGGGACGGCAACTTCCCCCCGGCTGCGGGGGCGCTCTGGATCCCCTACGAGGAGGTCGATTTTGACCCCCACCTCAAGGGCCTGACACGCGCAGAGGTCAAGGAGTACTGCCGGGCGCGCCAGTACCAGATCGACCGGGGCGAGGGGGACGACGAGCGCGTCGCCAACGAGGCCGAGGCCGTGCGCCAGGCTCGGGACCGTATCAGCCGCAGCGCCGGGAGCGGTGCCGGCGCTGCCCAGCGACCTGGAGACAAGACCTCCGTCCCAGCTCAGATCCCGTCCACCCAGCGAAGTGAGCCTACGCCGGACCGGCAGCAACCCGCCGCCAGCCGGACAAGCCTGAGCGGCGGCCAGGAGCTCCGCTCATCCCGACGCGTCGAAGCCATGAAGCAGCAGCAGCAGCAGCAGCAGCAGCAGCAGCGGCAGCGGCAGAATCAGCGGCAGCAGCAGGGCGAAGAGGGTGGTCAGCAGCCATCTCTGCGACACCAGCGATCCCAGCGATCCCTCACCCAGCAGGCACGCCGTCAGGAGGATCAGCAGCCGGTCACCAGCAACGGCCGACGCTCGCTCGGCGGCAGCAGCAGCGGCAGCAGCAGCGTCGACGCGCCCACCCGTCCGAACCACGCGCTGGATAAGACGGCCCGGCTCGCCCAGCGGGAGCTCGCGCGCGCCGAAGCCACGCAGGGCCGGGCCGACCTCCAGACCCTGCACCGGCAACGCGCGGCCACGGCGGCGGCAACGGCAGCTGCCGAGGCGGAAGTGGAAGCGACGACGGCAGCCGCAGCCGCAGCCGCAGCCGCAGCGACGGGTTCCCGCTCCGGAACGGGATCGGGATCGGGATCGGACCCGACCACGACCGCGACGACGACGAATGGGAATGGAAATGGTACCTCCTCCTCCACCATCACCACGACACCTCGCATACGAGAATCTGACGACATCCGACGGCTCAACGACATCTGGGCCCGGCAGGAGTCAAGGCGCGCCAGGGCCCTGGGAGGGGACGACACCAAGATATACGACGGCGTCAAGTACGAGCGTAAGACGAACGGACCGTTTCTGGGAAAGCTCGTGTCTCACGGGAGTATCATTACCATTGATGGGGAGGATTATGTCGAGTATCGTGTTCTTATGAAGCCATCATTTTTTTAAAAAGGGGGGAGGGGGGTTGTTTCTTTTCTCTTTCTTCTTCTCTCTGTCCTCTTTCTGTCTTTTTTCTTCTTCTTCTTTTAGTTTCTTCCCTCTTCTTGTTTCTTTCCTTCACTTTCTCTCTCTGTTGTTCTCATTCCCTCCATTCTTCTTCTCTATTACCTTTCTTCATTCCTATCAGTCCTCGTGTTACAACTATGGAAACATTAATTCTTTTTTTTTTGCTACAACATTGGAAGAGCTAGCGGTTCTTGGGTGATTTTTTTTCTTCTCTCGTTTTCTTGTTTTCCTGCTCTTGTTCTCTCTTCATGTCTTTAATATCATTCTTTTTTTTCTCTTCCTGTTTTCTTCTTCTTGCTGTTTTATATATATCCCCCCTGATGAGCGCTTCATTTCTTATCTTGTTTTGGTGTTTGTTTTCTTCGCTTCTTTTTCCATCTCTAGACTCTCTATATATGACTTTGGTACTGTGGTACTGTGGACGTATTTTCGATTTTCGAGAGATAAACTGTTTCTGTGGAGGAACAAAGGTTCCCAGGTAGGAACAAAGATGGAATAACAAACATGAGCAAAAAAAAAAAGTCACTATCCTGGCACACACACACACACACACAAGAATAGGTGATGTACGGGACAGTAGACAGTATAATACAAGGCGTCTTGATATCCTGGCATTAAAAAAAAATCAATCTTTGCATTTCTTCTCTAGAACGCTCCCTCTCTCCCCCCCCCCCTCCCTTCTTTTTTTAACCTGACAAATGAATTGAAATCGTGTGTATGTGTGTGGACACTAACAAGAACAGAAACGAAAAGGAAGAAAAAAAGACATGGAAAGAAACAAGAGAAAACATACACACACACGTAGAGAGAGAGAGAGAGAGAAAGGTAAACACATCATGACTCGTGAACGGTAGGCTCAACATCCGTCGTCTTCTCCTCGTACCCCTCCACCTTCATATCCTTCAGGCCGAGCTCCTCTTCATCCTCATCGGTACGGTCATACAAGACACGTTGAATCTTGGGGTCCGGGGCGGGGGGGTCTACTAGAGGCTGGACGTAGCTGCTGGCGATGGGGTCGGTGAGTACGACGGTGAAGGGGACGTCTCCGCGGATGGCGGAGTCGAGCTTGTCGAAGAAGGCGTCCCATCGGGTGCGCTCCTCGGAAGGGAGCGAGTCTCCGCCGCGGGACTGCGAGCCGCCGCCGTTGGCCTCGAAGATCTGGGCGTGGAGATCGTCGCGGACCTGGGTGAGGAGGCCCTCTACGGTGGTGAAGCGGCCGCCCAGGGTGCCGGGCTGGACCTCGAGGCCGAGCTCGGGGCACTCGAGGCCGCAGGTCTCGCTCTTGAGGATGTCGCGGGCCAGGTCGACCTCGTCGTCGACCTTGAGGGTGATCTTCTCGCCCTGGGCGGGTATCTCCCCACCCGTCTTGACGTCGTTGGAGCGGTAGCCGCAGTCGTCGCAGACGGTGGACATGATGACGACCTGCTTGAAGTGGGGGATGTCGACCATCTTCATGTTGGTGGTGCAGGGGTGCATGCAGCCGGGGCAGGTGGCGGGGAAGCTGTAGACCTCGTTGGGGATGATGTCGCCGTCCGTGGTGAGGGCCGAGGTGGACACGGCACCGGCCGCGGCCGAGCCGCCGCTGTCGCCGAGGCCGAGCTGGGCGTTCTGCTCCGGCGTGCGGATGTACTCGCGCTTCTCCCACTTGCCTACGCCGTCCTTGAGGTCGGGCGTGATGAACGAGTTGCCGGCCGGGTCGTCGACGTACAGGCGGAAGGGGAAGGCGTCGCCCAGGAGCATGCTGCGCCCGCGCGCGATGACCTGCGCCACCTTGGGGAACAGCTCAGGCAGCTGCTCCTTGCGCGCCTCCTGGCCCATCTCCAGGTCGTCCACCACCGAACGGAGGAGGCCCTCGACGTTGGTCAGCTGCCCGCGCCCGGCGGGGATCTCGAGGTCCAGCTCGATGAACTTGACCGTCGCCGAGTCCGACTTGACCACCTGCCGCTGGAAGTCGTCCATCTGCGTCAGACGAAGCTCGTAGTGCGTGCCCTTGGGCTGCATGGTGCCCGCTGCCTGGATCTCGTTGTTCTGAGTGCCGCAGTGCTCGCAGTAGAAGGACATGATGATCACTTCGCGAAAGTACGGGATCGCCGTGAGAAAGAGTCGGGTGATGCCCTGTCACGGTCTCGGTTTAGTTTTATTTCCTCCTTCATCCTTCGGTTTTGAGACAAGAGAGGGAATGGACGGGGATCCGTCAAGGCGTCAAAAGATGGAATCACTCACATTCTTTCCGCAGTTCATGCAGAGAGATTCAACCTCCTCGACCGGGGGCCTCTCGTCGTCGTCGTTGCCGCCGTTTGCCTGCGCGGCGTCGCCGTTGGTGGCAGGAGTCAGGTTCTGGACCTTGTCGCCGATGGCCTGGAAGAACTGTTGGGGGTCCTGAGACTTGGCGACTTCGGGTTTCTGATCGGACATTTTGTGCGTGCGTGCGTGTGTGTGTCTCTCTCTCTTCTTCTTTTGATGTTATTTTCTTCTGGCACTTCTTAAGAAAGCGGGATGTTGTTCTCGGATGCGTCGCAAAAAAAAAAAGAAAAAAAGAATATGATGGAGGGGTCTTCTTTTTTTTTTCTTTCTTAATTTCTTGGAGGGGCAATCGAGTGGGGGAGGGGGGGGGGGGTTATGTCATTCCCCCGGTAGCAGTTTTCACTCTTTTTTTTTTCTTGCCCCTCGTATGACTTTGACGCCGGCCGCTAAAGGCGGCACTGCCAATAGCGGGCCACTGCAGGATGGTGCGAGATGCTACTAGAAGCGTCCAAAGTTTTGGATGTGCACGTCAACATGTGGCATAATCCATGTATGCACGCTACCAGTCGTGATCTCCTCCTTGGGCGAAGAGGGGCGTCGTTCTCCTAGGAGTGGCGATAGCCGTGGGCAGAGATAGAGAGATAGTTGTAGTATAGTGAGATCGGTTGCACAGTAGTAGGAAGTCTCCTCATCTCTTCAGAAAGCTCCCCAGACTGAGCGGACTGCTATTCTTCTGCTGCTGATGACCGGCAAGAAGAGCCTGCAGTCCAGCTCTCCGGTTCTTTGCACGCTTCTTGCTGCTAGCGTTTGCCGACTTGTTCTCTGGAAGAGGCGAAGCAGAGGCGGTGCCCTTTGCAGCGGCAGCAGCAGCAGCAGGCTTGCCGCCGCCGACCTTGGTCTTCTTCGGGCGGGATGCCGGCGGCGGAGCTCCGAGGTCAATACGGGTCGTCTTTCTGCATCGACTGCAGCGGATGGCCTTGTCGGTGCCCCTTTTTGTGGCCGCAACACCGCAGGATCTCGTTGAACTTGAGCTTGGCTTGCTGTTGGTCTTGGTGTTGCTGTCGCTGTTTTTAGCGTCACCGCCACTGCTGCTGCTGCTGCTGCTGCTGCTGCCACTCTGGATACGACGAGCGTGGGTGCGACGAGCGTGGGTGCGACGAGCGTGGGTGCGACGAGGCTCGAGCTTGACGGTAGTGCTGCCCATCCCGGGGATGAGGATGGTCCCGCAGGCTCCGCATGAGAGCTGGCGCTGCACCGGGGATGGGCTCAAGTCGTTCTGGAACAGGAGGTTGCTGCGCTGGCGCATGAGGCGGGCCGAGACGGTGGGCGACCGGGTCATGGTGAGGTACGCTGCATCGGTCAGGTACTGGAGTGTCGGCATGAGGCTGTCGTCGTTGGACATGTTGACGTCCCGACTCGATACCCTTGCTCTCTCGGTCCGTCCTTTCACTTGGGTGGCTTTGTGGGTAAGTCACGGAGAAGAGGTGAGAGACTCGGATCTATCTGTCTTGATGATCAGTCGAGGTCGATATTTTGATATGGCAGGGATTTTTAAGAGCTAAAACCTTGATGGTATCTACCCGGGAGTGTGTGAATTTGCCATCAGCCGACGACAACGAAAAATTAAATCATTTATACCATAATTCTATTCATCTCTCTCTTCAGGATTGTCTTCCCCCCTCCTGATACTTGATATATGGCTTGGTGATCTAAGAACGCCTGATCTCCCACACAAGTTCCTTGATGCTCACTTCTTCCCCGGCCTTTTCATCATAGTCGAACCACTCCCCGTCCTCAAGCTCGATCTCTGTAAATTTGGTGCCGGACTCGACACCATCAGCCAGCCAGTTACCCTATGAAACAATCGTGTTAGCAGAATATTATGATTATGGCAAAAAAAAAAAGAAGACATAAAAGGGAAGAGGGGCAGTCACCTCAGGCTTAAACTCTATAAATTCAAGACCACGGCAGTCAAATTCAATAATCCTGGTTGCCTTGGGCGGTTCCGTCTGCTCGTAGGCCTTGGGTCTATCCTTAATCGACGCAGACGACTCTCTCTGAGAACACGCAATCATGATAGTCAGCCTCAGTTCAATCTCTCTCTATTCCTCTCCATCGAGGCCCTCTCTCTCACCTTGCAGTTCTTGCATCGCCACACAAAGTTGGCCTCGCCCCTGCTGCCGCTGAGCTCGTTGGCTTCCTGTTTCAGGGTTGTGAGTTTTGTGAGTCAGCATGCATGCATGTTATATATTTGCAGAGACTTGTAGAAGAAGGTAGGCCATGGGGGGGGGGGAGGGGGTTAAGAGAGAGACAGAAGCACTCACGAAGCGGTTCACCCCGACGAAGCTGGGGTTGGTCTCGCGACACGAAGTGCACTGCACCTTGAACGTGTACCAGAAGGGGTTCTCTTCCGAGTCATCGGGTCGGAGGTTTGTGACTCTGCCATGATCAAAGGCTTCATCAGCGTCTGCGTCGAGAATAAAGCTACCGCCAGCCCCCCTCCCCCCTCCCCCCTCACCCCACCATCACCACCACCACGTACCCTTGGAGCTCAGCCTTGAGGGTCAGCGTGAACATCTTGACGCCTTCATATGCTATGAGGATGGATCTGTGTATGCTATCCCTTCTCTCCTTCTCTTCTCGTTTAGATCCTCTCTTATCGTCTGATCAGCTGACAGCTGGTGAAGCACTGCGGCTCTTCGACCAATACCAGGGTAGAGGATATGATGACCCAGATGGTGTTCTCACGTGATTATGAGCGCCTGCCGTTGCTTTCAAAGTGTCTACGAGTTCATGACAGGGAACGCATTTCGAGTCGAGAAAAAACCTGAGAGTCATTATCAGATGAGCATTTGACCATTGCAGTACGGCTTGTACAGTTGAGAAGGAGTATCAATGACCATCTATCCGGTCATTGGGTGTCCCAACAGGGTGAACCAACCCCCCCCCCCCCGCTGTACCGAGGCCGACGCACGTGACCTCTTGGCTAGCTCGTCCGAAAATACCCAAAGAGCGGCCTTTAATCAGGAGCCAGCCAGAAGAGAAGTGTCAGGCCATCATTCATCCAGCGACCACAAAACGACGACGTCCAATTGAACGACCAAACCAGCACCTCTCCCGCCTACCCCTCGCGAACGATATGAAGCGGTGCCGGCAGAGCAGAATATAGAACTGCCTCCCTACCCCGATGAACGCGCTCTGGTCCCGGGCCAGCCAGGCCCACCGCTGCGGCTGCAGAGCCTGCAAGACGGTAGCTCAGGGTGCCAGCCGGCGCGTGACGACGGCACCGGCCTCCCGACGCAAGGTCACCTTCGCCGACGTCTTCACAGCGTGCTACAGCTCCATGTTTGCCTCGGCAGCCGTCATCGACGCCATCCGCAAAGAGGACAGGCGGGGCGAGCTGGACCGCCAGCTGGACGAGGTCCGGCGAGAGCTGGCCGACCTCAGGGGGCAGGGACAGGCCCAGGCCCAGCATGCCGAGGAGACGCCGGTCGAGTCGAGCGTGGCGAACCTCACGGACAGCCAGATGGCCGAGCTATGGCGGAGCCTGGCGGCGATATACCACGGTCGACCGCACTTCAAGGAGATTCACAAGCCGGCGCTCCTGCGCGAGTCGCGGCTGCGAGAGCGCCTGCAGGAGGAGCTGTACCGGTGCGGCGGACCGCTCTCCGGCTCCGGCTCCAGCGAGAATGACGCCTCGACCATCGAGCGGTTAGAACGGGCCCTAGAGCTCGAGGAGGACGGCGACGACTACCGGGCCATACGACGACGAGACCCGAAGGAACGCATACACCTACGACGCTCCGGCGACGGCATCTCCCGCCTGGTCGAGGGCTTGATGACCAAGGCGGCTTCGCGGCCGCGAGGCGCGCAGCCCAGCCCGTCGTTTGACGAGGCCGCCAGGCTGCTGGAGGAAGGGTACCCGCGGTACACGTTTCGGAGCATCGACCCGGACACGGCACACAGCAACACGCAGATGCTCAACCGGGCCAACAAGTCGGCCATCCACGACGGCTCGCTCGGGCTGAGGGAGATGATTGGGCGCGTGTGCTACAACCTGCTCATCTCGGCGTACCCGCCCGACATGCAGTCGCTCAACACGCTCATCGTGGCCTTTGACAGGCACAGGGACTACCGGCCGTACTCGGAGTCGGTCATCGCGACCTTCTTCTGGAGGAGCCGGCTGATGCCTACGCCTGCCACGTACCCGGCCATCCTGCACCACCACCGCGTCACCGGCAACCACGGCATGTTCCTCCGCACGCTGGCCTGCGTGGCCGGCCAGGACAGCAAGACGGGCGCCAAGGTCGGGCGCCGGTCCGTCGGCGACATCGTCCAGGACCCGGGGCTGCTGCAGCGCTGGGCGACCGACCCCAACCGCCGCTCCTTGGCAGGCGACTACGTCTGGGAGCACGCGCCCATCAACGGCCTCATGGTCGAGGAGGTGCTGCGCGGCCTCGTCCGGTTCCACATGTACGACCACGCCATGGCCCTGCTCGGCTGCTGCGTCAGCTCGGGCGTCCGACTCGGGTCCGGGCTCGTCAGCCACGTGCTGGACGGGTGCCTCGCGGCGCTGGACTGGAGGGGCGCCGTGACCCTCATCCGCGAGCTCTGCCGCCGCGCCGACGCGTGGTCGTCCCTGCTGGACTCGCGCGACTCCCGGTCGGCCGCGTACCTGGTCGGCAGGGTCTACTGTCTCCTCGACATGGTGGGGCTCGGCGCCTCGGCTCGGTCGGTGTCGGACCACCGCCTCGCCTCGCTGGGCATATCGTGCGCGCAGCTGGCGGCGTTGACGGGCCAGGTGCACAAGACGGCCGAGGCCCTACCGGCCTCGCTCGCCGTGTCGCCACCGGCGCTAGCACGGGCAGGCCTGGAGGGGGCCGACTCCGAGAGCAGGCTCCTCCAGATCGAGAGCCTGGACAAGGAGCTGACCCGCGTACGCAAGACGACCAAGTCGATCGAGAGCCGGATGATCAAGCCGGATCTGGCCCTGCGATACCGCGTATCCATCGCTACGCACGCCAGCACCGCGGCCTTGGAGGCTTCGGAGAGGTTGCAGGCCGAGTTTGACGATGTCCTCCTCCATCTTGATGGGTCAGGCCAGCAACGGAAACGCGAGCAGCAGGATGAAGACAAGAGAGAACCGTCTACACTGGTGATAGCTCAGCAGCAGCAGCAGCGGCAGCAGCAGCAGCAGGGGGAGGAGGGGGAGGAGGGGCAGCAGGTGCAGGTGCGGGTGCAGGTGCAGGTGCAGGTGCAGGTGCAGCATAAGCATAGGCAATCGCGGCGTGGAGCAGCAGCAGCAGCCGCAGGAGGAGGAGCGGCAGCGGCAGCAGCGGAGCCACTGCGGAGGAAGCCACTCGGTTTACCGTCCGGCCTGCCGGGAGATCACGAGTACAGTGGATTTATACGGGCGGCATTCGAGTCGAAGCGGTCAGGGCTCGGCACGCAGGAGTACCATGGGACCTGGTAAGCGGAGACGGGCATGCATGGACCGTGTACGAATACAAGGGTTCTTTCTTTTCTTCTTCTTCTTCTCCTTGCTCCCTCCCTTTCTCTTCACACATTCATAAGGAAAGGGGGTAAGAAAAAAAAAAAGAAGGAAAGGTACAGCTTTTTTTTGTTTGTTTCTTATGAGAGGGTTTTCTTCTTTTTTTTCCCCTGTGTATCTGTGTATCTGTATATTGCGATGAAAACACAAATACCCGCCGTCTATGATGCATACAATTTTTTTTTATTTTTTTTTTGTATATTAACATGACCTGAACTTTTTCACCATTCAATCCATTTGGTCTTGCAGACTTATGACTCCCCCCTCCATCCCATCACACCGCCCAATCCGGAAATGAAACATGCCAGACCAACAGATTGACTCTTTTTTTTTTTTTTTTCCCTTGTCTTCTCTCTTTTTTTTTCTTTCATAATGATACTTCTAGAACTCTCCCTTGTTGTGGATTGACCTAAACTGGCAATGGTGGCCGTGACGACCCAGTCACGTAGAGTAGAGAGACCACGGTCCTCGAAGACGGGACCCTGGTTGGGCAGATGGGCGTTCGGGGGAGCGGCTACACTCGTGGCCGTCCCTGTTCCCGTACATATATCGATACTCTCTACTACGTAGCCGTACACTCACGAGTCACTCGTAGTTGGGCTGACCTGCCACGAGCGTCACAGGTAAGGGTACATGTATGTCAGATGTCACCCTGCTGGTGAGTTCTGGCGGGGCACCTCTGCATCGAAAGGAAGAGGTTGGATGTTTTCTGCAGCTGTTGCAGACTTGCTCCTTTCCTCTCCCTCTCTCTCTCTATCGTGTGAGCTCGGGATGGTGAAGGGTGGCAAGGCGGATAGGTGGGAGTACCATCACGACGACGAACAAGGAACAAGACCACCGGAGAAGACAGATATGAAGAACGAGATACAAGGAAAGGAAAGAAGAAGAAGAAAATAGGTAAATAAATAAAAAACAAGAGGTACCCCATAATACATACGGTACTTTTCCACACACAATGCATGGTAGGTAGGTAGGTTCACTATAATAATACACGGTGTTGACTCTTCACACCAAGTAATTTTGAGTACCCTGTACATGATAGGTACCTGCACGACATACGTCACTTTTTTCCGTCCTCTTCTTTTCCTTCCACTCACGAGTATCACAATTTTTTTTTCACATGTGCCTTCGTAGCAGGAACGAAGCGTCGTAAAGGAAGGTGATGAGTTTTTTTTTT